GTAATCGCTGTGTTGTTGTTGTACGGGTTTGATTGGAATAACGACGGACAGTTGACTCGATGTAAGAGGAGGATTCAGCTCAAAAGAGGCCGAGAAAGGTGCCGAGTTCGATTTGTTCGCAACGTATGCTCGCTGATTCAATGAAGCAACTGTCTTCGGTGTGAGGTCTTTATTTTCGGGCTTTGTCTTTGAGGGTGCTTCGGGGTCTGCGGCCGGTCAGTGAATTGACTATAAATATATCTGTGGCATCTCAGAGCTTACATCTGAATGCAATGTCGGTGGAGTTAAGCACCATCCGTGCGAAGGATCCAAGGCTATTAAGACCGGAAGTAGCACCGTCAGGATCGTTTGGGCGCAACTGTTGACTTCGCGTGGGAACGCGAGGAAGCTTGAATTTGCTATGGAATCCAAATTAGTTGACTGCCTTTCAAATATTTCACATCTCCTTACAATTCTGTCAGCTGGTCTCCATCCAGCAACTGTTGGATATATTCTCGAGACGTTTCTAAACGACTAGACTCGTCCCGTCCCGTTTGCATTTCCGTGTCAAGTGCACTTAGTGTTTTGCGGCCTTCTTGGAGGACATGGTTTATAGACGTGGTATTTGAAGGCCGGCCAACATCGGGACGTAGGATGCAGTCTGTGAATACAAGCTGTCAGAAAAATGAGCATAATTGAGGAGCGAAAGAACGAACCAAGGCCGAAGACAGGTGCGCTGGACATAGATGAGTACTGCAATGCTTCATCCACAGATAGCGACCTTTGATTCTGAAACTGCATATTGGAACCATATGGTGGCATCTGATCATGGCCGCTGATGACCACCTGAACGGCGGGTCGTCCATTCTGGTCCATGGTCGCGGTTAAGTTAAAAGAAGAAGTAGGCGCGAGTCAAGTTGACATGCTCGTGATAGAGACATGGCAATGAAGGCAGGCGCCCTATGACATCCCTAGATCATTCAAGTAGTTTAAAAAACCAGAATCTGAAAGAAAATGAGCTGAGCTACGAGCAACTGCGTTAATGAATTCCGTATGGGTGACGGCACCCCTATTGCCGTCTGTGACCGCCTCTGTGGAGGCTCGTGCATCAAAAAAAAAAGTTGCATAGATTATTCACTGCATAAGGCCTGTTTCGTTATCACTTCGCTTGCACCTTGATCTTCTGCAGTATCCAGATCGTCAAAAATACTTCTCACTCCTCAACATGTCTGCCATTGGTTCCTTGATTTTCTGCACAGATTGTGGTAATCTCCTACGAGAATCTACCGGCAATGCAGATGCGATTCTACACTGTGATGTCTGCGGCACTCGGAATAAAGGTATGTGACTAAAACCCGTTATTCTTGCCAGGTTGATAGATCAATCATTGCTAACTTCTATTTACAGACACAATCCCCCAAACAACCGTGTCCCAGTCCAAGCCCTCCGCATTCCCCTCCGCACTGAGAGCCAAACTATCGGCAGTCCAGGTCCTGTCAGCAGAGGATCGGAAGACTGAGGCTATCATCGACCGTACATGTAACGAATGTGGAAGGAAGCAGATGTTCTACACTACGGTACAACTGCGCAGTGCCGATGAAGGAAGTACCGTGTTTTACAGATGTGTCTGCGGATTCAAGTATGCCCACCCGCCTCAAAAGCATATATCTATGCATGCCCAACAAATACTAACTACTTCAACAGGGAAACTACCAACAATTAAACTTGGAGTAACGGATTGTACAAAAGATGTGGGGAAAGTCTATTTTTGGAGAAAGGCTGTATAACTAGCGGGACAAGAGTATTAAAATCACGACCGTCACGAGACAAACTTTTTTTTTGCAGGATCTCCATCATGCAGCAACAGGTGCAGCGCTATCCGGGATCAGCGCATATTGGGTTTCGCCATTCTTCTCAAATTCTGCCATGTCAAGAGCAACGATGACACTGTCCCTGACCACCTGATCAGGATCATTCAAAAATTTCTTCAAGGTCTCCTCCACACCCTCCTCCTCGCCCAGGCTGCCAAGGGCCTCCGCCGCTTCGTGTCGCACCATCCCTACTTCCGAAAGGTCACTCAGCGAGGCTGTGAGACTTGGGATCGAGGCAGGGTGGCAGAGTTGTCCGAACACAAAAGCAACCTCATGGCGGAAAAGAGCAGAGGGATCCTTGAGGCCCTTAGCCAGCGCATTGACGGCGTCGACTGCCGTAGGAAGATCTGGTGGCGAGGCAAGGTCGCGCAGGCCGAACATCGCACGGTACCTTTGGAACAGAGGAAGCTTTGTGTCAAGCAGTGTCTTTTGCAGGTCGGGTATGCAGGGTTCGGCGCTGGCATCTAGAGGCATGGGTGGAGCAGGGTCGATAGACGTGAAATCACTGTAAATCGAAGATCTCAATGTCAGCATTTCTCTTCATGGTATATAATCTCCCGCGCAGATCGTACCTAGGCTTCAATTTCTCGGCCTTGCGCTCTTCTGAGTTCTCCCACAAGATTCGATCGACAGCAATGTCGCAAGTCTCCCGAATAATCTCTAGTTCATTCGTATCATCCCTCAATTTCTTGAGGATATCCAAGCTATCGGCGTATCCAAGAGCGCCCAGCGCTTCGGCAGCCTCGTGGCGACACATCGCATCCTCCTCGGTATCTTTCACCACATGCTGCAGGTATGCAACAGACTCGATGTTTTTGGTTTGGCCGAGACAGTAGGCAAGCTCATGCTTGAGTAGCGCCGAGGGTGATGCGAAACCTGCGGCGATCGCTTCAATGGCGGGGAGGGTCTGGTCTGTGGTAGGCTGTAGGCAGGCCAGGTGCTTAAGGGAGAAAAGAGCGCGGAAGCGGCGAGCAAGCGGCTCAGATTCAGAGACCAGCACCTTGCGGAGAGTAGGAACGGTATTGTCTATTTCGAAACCCATTTTGAGGAGTGTAGTCAGAGGGGGAGTATAGAGGTGGAAAAGAAAAGTTGTTAATCTTTTTGATCTTATCATTTTTTAGAGTGGGGTGGCGGGGCCCATTCAGGCGCATGGATTTTGGATTTTTGCTCGTACGTTGTTGTTTTTAATGCTTCCGGTGTAAGCCCAAGACATAATTGTTGATAGTTGCAGATTAGACTACCTAGGTACCCTTACAGCTCATAATCATGTATTAGTGTAGGTTTAAGGGTGGAGTATGCGGGCTCTCGCAGATGGGAGCGCTGATCTTAGGAGATATACTGTATGCTATAAAAACGTTGTATGGTGTGCAAATGTTCCACATGTATACTTCAGTAGGATGCTTGAGCTTTAAAACAATAAATGACCGAGAAACCAAATAGATATTCTCACACCGATTGTACACATATCACGAGATATATAGACGTCCCAAACTTGTAGTCACAACTGGAGTAGAAACTCGGATGGATTAGTTTGAAGCACTATATAAGTCAATCTAGCCTTTATATTATATCCTTTAGTATATTGTCCGTGTGTTCTCTGTTCATTTAGCAGGATACTTACTGTAGGCTGGGATCCGAACACGGCTGTTTTGATAAATACCAGACAGTTGGAGCTACAAGTATTGATCAATAGACTTGCCTAGACACCTTTCCAAGGAAATAAGACATAAATAATAAAAAATTAGCAAAGTCATGATCCTAGAGCCTCACATGCTCATCCCATTATACAATGCTGTTGACTGGGAATTTATAGCCTGAGTGGAAGCTCTATATTATACATCGAGGACACTATCTAGTTTTATACTCCGATGGACCTGAGATGTTGGTATCGAGATGGGGTTGGAGATGTCGTGTGATCGGTATAATGAGCATACCATTAGCAAAGAGGTCGTGATGTCGGTTAGTTACATTGAGACGAACACATTGATTTGAACCTGATATCTTACAAAAGCGACACGAAAAGCGACATGAGGGATACACATGTGTAGACACTTCAAAAACTATTTCACAAAGCGCATCAAAAAAAAACAAAGTGTCAACACAGAAGTAGAATTGACATCGTTCCCTACCTTTTGCTCCTGGTAGTTGTAAGGGAGTTGACCGGTAGTTGGTAGCCCTAACTCATGAGACCCTTTATATTAGAATGTAATATATTGAATTACTTGAAATTGAATTCGAGTGGTAAACTGGCAAATATGTACATAATACAGCGCGAAGTCAAATCATTTGGTCTTGATATGCCTGAGCTTCTTGGGCTCGTGAACGTAGTTGTTGGCATAGGACTTGGGCACGATACGGCGCTCGTTCGGTTCCTGAACAAAGTATTCGTATCCCTGCTTCTGGGCAAAAGCGATTGCATCTTCCTTCGACTTGAACTTCAGGTTGGTACCCTGCATGCCATCGGCAGACGACTGCCAGCCCATGAGCTGGTTCTCCCAACGGTAACCCCGCTGCAAGACATCCCAATCCATGCGCCAGTGATGCTGGTGCCAGGTACCTTGCTGTGTTGCGGCCTTGGTAGGGCGGTAGATCCTGTGGGAGTCATGGGTTAGTGTGTGGGAAGTAGATAGGTGATCAAGCTCTAAATTCGTATAACATACCGAACAGTGCGGGCCTGAAGGTCAGTGGGGGCTCCGGAGAGCACGGCCGCGGGGAGAGTTTTGCCGGGCTCACTGCCATCCATCACACGCTTGGGCACAGGGGAAAATTGCCTGAATTGAAGCCAGACTTGTTAGTGAAAGGATCTGCGACGGAACCAAAGGGGAATGTCGTACGAGGTACCGTGGTCAATGGTGGCCTCATAATCCAGCTTGTGATGGGTCATAGCCTCGGCGGGGGTCTCCTTGTTGATCAAGGAACTGTCCTTGAGAGGCGTGGTGGGAGCATCCGAGGTGTTGGTCTTCACGGAAGGAACGCCAACGGGGGCATTAGCGGAGATGAAACGGGCATTGACGGGCACAGCAAGTCGGCTGGCCCGAAGGCTAGCAGCACCCCCGATTCTGAATAGTGACATTATGTCTTTTTGTATGCGGGGAATGGTCGTTGCCAATGAGGTCCCTTCAGATCCCTTCAAGTGTGGTTTGGTTGCGAATGACAGGCAGGTCACGACACCACCGAATCGGGTTTAGCCGGGCTTGGCAAGCCGAACACCCGCAGGGCTCGGTTTGTTCCTCCTTCCTCCTCCATCAGCTTTCTTTGGTTCACTTGCGCCGCGAATCAATGTGAGTCCACGTCTCTACCACCCTGCAAATGCCCATTGACAGCCGCTCTATTCATTGCGCCCAATCTCTGACCCCCTTTAGCCTAGACAAGATGAGCTACATTGCCCGCCGAGGTCTCTCGACCTTGATCCCCCCCAAGGTAAGAGCATCCCTGTTCATGGCTATTTGTAGTCAATCGACTCTTCAAACGATGCTAATTGTTCCTGAAGGTCGCCTCCCCTAACGTGAGTTACCCACACACTGCCATCTTCGACTTAGTGCATCTCTGCCACACCCGTCCCGCCCCGAAGCCGTTTTTCGTGAAACTCGCGATATGATCAAAATGCCGCCTTTCTTTCGCCTTCATAACTGACAAACTCTCAATCAAGGCTATCGGTGCCGCCCAGGATGCCGCCCGCATGGAGCGTGTTGTGACCTTCTACGCTGGCCTTCCCCGTGGCCCCGCCGCTGATGTTAAGCCTACCGGCCTCATCCGTCGCTACCAGGCCCGCTACTTCAACGGAAAGAACGCCTCCGGTCTTCGTACGTATTCGTCCATTGGGATCTTGTATTGATACAAGACTGATTTTCATGCAGCCTTTGTCCACGCTATTGCCGGTATCTTGATCATGGGTTACGGCATGGAATACTACTTCCACCTGCGTATGTGTTCCAGCTATTACCCTGCTTATATATCCTCTATATCGTGGGGACATCCACTGACTTGATTTCTGGACTAGGTCACCACAAGAACCACCCCCACTGAGCTTTCTCTTTCCACCGAATAGGTGGAGGATTGATGTATATACTGGATCCTCTGTCCTAGTGCAAGGGAAAACCGTGGTTTTAGCGAGAACTTTAGAATCTCACTGTGTTTCAATATTCAGATTTACCATCCTTTGTTGTTTTTTAGTAGATTTGGAAGTATACATATTACGTAGAAGCTTGAGTGACGGGCTCTTTCCATAGTTTTTCATCACATACAAACTTCAACCGGACATCAGAAATTCTCACCATTTGCAAGCAACGACATCATCCATAAAACCCACCCTTTATAAACCAAACGAACCGTCAACAAAACTAGGGCTTTCGAAGAGATCTTAAGGTGTGTGGGCAGACAGACCTCGCAACTTTCGTACGGGCCACGCTAAACCGAAAACAGCGACCCTCAGCTTCAACCCGAGCTGACTCTTGAATCTCGTATCATCCACCCTATCTTTGTATCATCAACCGTCCTTACGCATAATCCCTCCCTCTTTGCCCTAATCCCTTTCTGGGACCTCTTGGGCTGCGGACTTCCCAAGACAAACGCGCCTATCGATTCCGCGATCGTGCTCTCCACACCAAGCCTAACTTAACACGGGCTTTCTCATCATCCGAGAGAGTTGGCCAATACTACATCTGGTTGTGATATCCCATATATTCAGGGTGCAACCAGTCAAGGAACCAGTGCAACTGTGGCGATCCTTGGTATCTGACGATAGGTATGTCTCCTTAGAATCTGGCATGATTGATCTGCAGCTGCCTATTACGACCCTGATCTATCTCCCCGCTGTCAGGGCACTTGGCTTACTTGTTCGCAATTATTGTATGGAATAGAATCGAGTATTGTTATGGCAGAGCAGAGCAACCGCGATGTGGTAGATCAGACCCTGTCGGGCGGCGAGCCTTCGCCTTCCGACGTTCCTGCGAGCACCAACGACAATTTATCTGCTGGAGGGGACGCAGGGAAGACCGAACATATCGCAATGACTACCGCTACATCGAACAACTCAAATTTGAAAGATCAGCAAAACCATGATAAAACGAACCCTCCTGATTCACAGGGAGGAAAAGCCGCCGGTGACAAGGATACTGGAAGCTCGACGACGGTGAGCTCGCTTCTGGATGCGCTACAGAGAACTTGCTAATACGGGCGCAGGATACTTCTAAGCAAGGCACCGGAGTTGTTGCGACTCGAGTTCTTGAACTTAATGGCCTGGCGTCGGCATCGGACGGCGGAGAGGATACAGCATCACAAGGTGGTTCAGAATCGGATGCTAGCCGATCAGACAGCAGGAATCCCACTCACGGTGGCTCAGTCAAAAAACCAGCAGGATTCAAGCCAGTTTCATTTGCCAAGTTTTCGGTAAACAAGGTTCCGGGGGCTCCAACACAACCTAAGGTGCCCGAGAAAGGTAACTTCTTTGTTAAACTGTCTCATAGTTGGCTCTAACGTGTTCAGCGCCGACCTCTACAACACCACTCGGCACCCCACAGCCAAGCTCCCGACCGCGCTTGGTTGCGAAGACTACACTCGGCATGCGCGATTCGTTCGCGAAGGCTGGAGCAGGCGGAGGCAAGCCTGGTGGATCAGGGCCTGATCCAAATCAAGTGTGGAATAAGAATAGACGTATGTATTGGTCATGCGATGCAGTGAAACCACTTGAAAACTAACTGATATCCGTGTAGCTGTTGTGCCCGCTCCTCCGAAACACTTGACCGATGAAGAATTGAAACAACAATACGGAATTCATATGACTTCTCGTATCCAAGAAGATGGGGCTGTTACCTCCGAAGCAAAGTGGGCAGATATTGATGATGATGAAGACGATTGGGCGCCTGAGACGATTGAGTGGACAGACGGAACTAAGGTCAATCTCACTCAACCTCACACTGAACCCCCGCCGGCTCCCAGTCATCGGGAGCCTAAGGAGTTACCGCCTGCGGAACCAAGCATAGTGAAGGAGCCCGTCAAGGTTGCGCCGAAGCCAGCTATATCAATGGGATCCCGTGCCATGGTACTCAAGGTTGGAGCGAACGCTGAACGGCAAGCGAGAACTGCGAGTGCTTCTTCCAACGGTACGAATGACAAAGTTCCATCTAGCTCTACAAGCCCAGCACCTCCGTCCAAGTCTCCTTGGGCCGCTCTGCCTCCTGTCGAAAGAGTGTCTCCAGTCAATGGCCCGGTCCAGCCTCACCAACAGCGCATGCCCGTGAGATACCCACAGAGAGATGACGGCCATCATGCCTCAATGGCAATGCCACCCAAGGAGATTGCAGCGGATGATTTCAACCGTGCATGGAAAGATCAGTCAGATTTGCCCCAGCTTTTCAATCCTCGATCTTCCCAGTATGAGCCGGTGGGTGAAACCAGGAGAGGAACTTGGCGTCATGACCAACACCCCCGTGCTCCTGCAGTTTTGCAGAGGCCACACGATCATCCGAGTGGACCGGCAGAGCCATCTGCCGCATTCCAGACGCACCGATCTAGTCATCAGGACGGTATGGGCTGGGGTGGTCGCCGTCGCACATCATCAAACGTGAGCGGAGGAAGCGGAGGATTTGGCCGTAGGATGTCAGCTGGCCGATTTGATGCCCCTCCAAGATACAATGATGCTCGAAGAGGTTCCCAAGTGAACGGTCTAGGTGATTCAGCAATTGTGGGTCACGAGCAGCACCATGGCAAAGACGAAATTGCTCCGTCTGGTCCAAATGGTATAGCACGTCCAGCTGTTGATGTAGGTATGTCTCCTGTGGAAACACAGGCTGCGATTCCTCAAGTTCCTCAAGTTCCGCAAGAACCTCAGGAGGACCCTGTTGCTCTACAACAGCGTATCATGAAGGAGAAACTTCTAGAGGCCAGGCAACGAAGAATTGAGCAGGAGGAGAAAGAGGAAGCGGCTAAAAAGGAGAGGATTAGGCAACGTCTCGCGGCGATGGGTCCGGCGCCAGAGAAAAAGACTCCCGAATCGCGCAACCCCCCATCTCTTCAACCTCAACCTCACCATCACTCTCACCCTCTTCATCCTACCCCCACCTCTTCTCAACTTCCTATTCAACCTCTCCACTCTATTTCTTCACCTCCCAAACCACCTGTTCCAGAACCTAACCGGGAACCAAAACAGTATGGTATGATGAAAGTGCATCATCCAGACTCTGTCAAGAAACTCGTTGGTGCACATGACCGGAACTCAGAGCAAAAACATATCAACCGACGTGTCTCTTCACCCCACCAAGAAACCCATCGCGACTCTGCACCCGCATCTGCCTCCCACTTCAAAACCGAACCTCACTCACCCGTCCAGAACAAGACATCTGATTCAAAGCTCGACGAGCACGGTACTCAGTGGCAAGGCAATTTAACTTCTACTTCGCCGTGGTCTCATCCAAATATCACTGTCCCATCTACATCTGCGAAAAATCTATGGAAACCGTTTGGCAGTGACCGCACTCCAACTCTCGGTAACGGCATCTTTGATCAACCTCTGGGAACTTTCACATCACGTGAAAATCCTCTAGGCCAACTTGGCTTGGATCCGTCAAATATGGCTTCCCCTCCCAAGTTCTCTGCTCCTAAGGAGCCAACCGATTCTTTGCCATCACCTGAGGCACGTCACCCCTCATTTGAACCCCTCAATCCAATTGGACGCCCTAGTCCGATCGGACCACCGAGCACACGGAATACGAATACTCGTGCCATTACCGACTGGAATAACTTCCACGAGAACGCTTTGGAAAAGGAATCCGAGAACGCGAAGGAGTTCCTCAAGCGACTCAACGACAGACAGAAGGGAGTCCCAGCACCGCCACCCGCACCTGTGGTTTTTACTGAGACTTGGAAGAAGACCCGTGCCACTGAAGACGGGAGACGAGTCATCACCCGGGTCACCGAAAGGGTTATCAACAATGAAGAAGAGATTGCCAAGGCCAACGCGGCCACAAACCAGCAATCTAACCCTCTTACGAGTCTAGATGCTCCTATGGATGGCCTCAACGTGTCTGATATCGGTGTTCGTCCAGCCGGCAATGTTTCTACCCGGAGCTCCCGATTCTTCCCCTCGGCATCTGAACAGTCGAAACGCCAGGTCGCCGAGAAGGAGCGCAGCAGTCCTTCGCCCCCTCCTCCTGAGGAAGTTAGCCACCCTGTATATTACGGAGACGCGAAGCGGCCCCATGTTAATCTCCCGGCCCCTAAGCCTCCCAAGCCCGTCGTCAAGCTCCCACCGAAGGCCATTGGTGTCCCAGCGCCCCCGCCAACATTTGCTTCTATGGCAGCTGCGCCACCACGTCATGCGGTGCCTCCTTCTTCCACTGCGCTTTCGTGGCAGGACAAGATCAATGGTCTCTTCGGGAAGACAACTCCTACTCAGAAGAAGAGTGTCTTAGCTGTGACATCAGCTACCAAGGAGCCTCTTCCTGTTCACGCTACTGCTGTTTCTGTCTCTATACCTCAGACCAGGATTGGTCTCCAGGCTGGCGATGGCGATTTCGCCGTTCGACAAGTCAATGAACAGGATGAGATGTTTGAAGACCGCGAACCCGGCTCTTTGCCTGCCGTTCGTGTGCCGAATATGGCGCCCCAGAATTCTTGGAGCGCAACTCGTCCATCAGAGCGACCCCGTGGGAAGAACTTCAAGCCGGTGCAAGCGCAGAGCATTCAGGCATTCCTGGTTGGACACAATGATCGGGATAATCATGGTAATACTCGCGCATCGGTTTTCCTTCCAGGTGGCTCTGAACCCAAAGTCGTTCTCATCCAACGCAAGGCTGGATCGACCCGAGGCCGCAATATCAATACCAATGTCAGACCCCGCAAGGGAGTCAACAACAAGTCTGGGGAAGTGTCTGGTGGTGGCAACAAGAAGCCTCCCTCCAACACCATCCCACGACAGCAACCCCGTCAGCGGTCGGGCTGGAGCCCAGAACCCCCCACTTCTCATTAAGAAGTATCGGCCTTGCAAGCATATGGTTTATCTGAAAGCGTTTTCGGTATCTTCTCTCTGG